AACATGATTTCACTGGCACGTTGGCTCCCTCGGCCTTGTCCATGCACTTCTTGACCACCACACCCACGCCTGCCAAAACAATGAAGACAGAGTAGACTCATTATGTCAACGGTTCAGCTTCACTCGGACTTGGCAAATATTCAACGACATGCAAGCAACTCATGCCCATATGTCCGCCCACCCAGTATATACAGGAGCCATGTTGGCAGATCGCAGCGAAAGAATCTTTGGCCGCCTGTACAAAAATCAAAACCTGTGCTGCGCATGACATAACTACTGTGGCCACAACTGCGGCGGGGCTCCCCAGGTCACAATCCAGCTGTCATCAAGGATGGGAATCCCTCAGGGTCTCCGTTTCAGCCCGCTGGTACAGGTTGGATACAGGCCGCCGAGCTTGCAGAATCAATGGCTGGTGCAGAGCTGTCACTGTCGCAGTCACCCTGGCCCAACACATACCACGGCAGGTCAGAAGATATCCACCAATGCACTGCCTCCAGAGCTTGCAGTTCAGGCGGCTCAAGACAAGCAGCCAAGGAAAGGCACACCTGAGGGATGCCAATAACGTAAACCAGAGGAGCCTCACCCTCGAAGGTATGCTCGGGCGACTCTGGGAACTGCAACGTCATGATAACTGTTCCGTGCTGCACAGAACCCGGCTTGAAACAGGGACAGCGGCAGCACGCACAGATCTGCAGAGTGACAGCTCCACTCCCTATATATTACATACACAATGGCAAGCAGACCTGAGAAATGCAGCTTATGGCCAGGCACACCTGTTTCTAGGGATTCTAGGGCAGATTCTAGGGGCGGAGGTTTCACGATGTCTCAAATGACGTGAAGGGTGCAGAGCAACTAACTATCATTACTTTTTATTAAACATCAGCTGAGCTCGCCCACCTGGAAGCCAATGTGCAAAGACGATGCCGAACATGAAGCAAAGGTCCTACGCAAAGCAATCAAGAAAAACAGTCGTCAAGCACGGCCGAGCTCAACAACCTCGAAACCAAAGTGCACCCAAGTCGTCGAAGAGAATGTCGGAGCCGAACCGAGGACGCCCTGTACCGAGCAATGCAAAGACAAGATTAGCCAACAATGGTCTCGAGCTCGCCAACCTCGAAACTAAAGTGCACCCAAGTCGTGGAAGAGAATGTCGGAGCCGAATCGAAGAGATCCTGTACAGAGTAGTGCAAAACAATAAGAAACGATGGCCCAGCTCACCAACCTGTAAACCAGAAGCCGTCAAAGAGCACAAGGACCCTGACCAGAGCAGGTGATATATGTATGCAGCCTCCAGGCAGACACTAAGCCACTAAGCTCCGGACGAAGCCGCGAAGTCATTCAACCACGGCCATCCGGACCTGACGACAGGAATCCCTGCATCACTTTATTCACACGGAAGTGAACCTGTTGCGATTGCATCAAAGGGCTGAGGGCTGGACACAGAACATGTCTTGCCCGCGCCGACCGAAAGCAAGCTAAACGGTGCAGCGCATGACCAATGGAACAAACAAACGATTTGGTAGCAGCAGCCTACATTCCTAGATTCTAGATTCTAGATGAGATGGCATAGTGACCCAGTTGGCCTAGAATGGAGCTAGGACCGCTAGGAGCAATAAGTTTGGGCTTCAACTTTAAAGGACCTCGGCGAACATCCTCAAACTCAGCTCGAGCCATCTCGAGCCCCTTCCGGCCCGTCCAATGCAGTAGGTCAGCAACATGCGCGCAAAGCAAAATGACAATCACCAGTGACCCGCCCCCTGCCAATGTCCTCTTCCTAGCGATGGTCAACCAGTCAGCCATGTCCAAGTGCACAACCGCATGGAAGTAGCCCACCGGCACGCTTGCCGTTTTCAATTCTGCCAGGAACCTGGCCCGAGAGCATTGAAGGCACCACTAGCCGATCAATGACAGGAAGTCCCTGACAGCACTGGCATCACTATCACTAGTCACTAGCCACTAGCCGTTATTATTAACAGTCATTGATTAACAGCGCTCGATGATGACAGCGATGGCATTCGGCAAATGGCTGAGTTCACACTTCAACTGCTGGATTCCTAAATCGGACAGATGACTGATTAGGTAGGTGCAGCACCGCAGGCCTCTCCATCGGAGTGTCGTCACAACCATCCTTCTGTGAACGATCCGGCATGTCGAAGCCTTCGACGTTCTCGAAGCATGCTGTAACTGGCGTGAAGGTTTCAAAAAAATCGACTGCATCTGTAAATGTGATGGCATATGCACTGTGGTCCTGCGGCGAAGTCTTGAAACGTTTTGCCCTCTGGACACTGAAGGGCTTGCACGGTGTGCCAAGGCACGCGAATGCCGGGCTGGAATCAACAACGCACGCCTCCGAGTGAGGATGACGAGTGCACGCACACCCCTGAATCTGCTTCCGAATAGTTTCGTGGGCATGGAAGATTCCAGAGTGGTTGTGCAGAGTGAAGGACCGATACTCTGCACACGGCTCGGAGATGGATGTCGTCTGGAAAGGGATGCCAAGCTCCTTCCGCACCGAACTATCACTAAGAATCTGCTAGACTCGAGTCGCATCCCACTTGGTCCGACCCTACCTGCCTACCGAACCTACGTGTACCGAAGGTTCAGCAACCGCCTCTTACACTGCTAACTGCTTATCGGCAATCAAACCACAGCTCTTTCTCGTCATTTTGATAACCGATAACCCGCCCTCACTGTCCTTGAAAGCGACGCCCTCCACAAAGGCTCCAGTGCACGCACTCAGCACAGAGACGTGAGACTTCGAGCTACCGCCACGGGGATCCCAATCCCGGGTGTGATCCTTGAGCTTCTGCACCCACCAGGAGTCGTCATCTGAAGGCAGCAGCGGCACTCCAGGATCAACATCTTCATCTTCAAAAGGCATGATGAAAGATTGCCCTTCATCGCCTTGACTGGAGGCTGAAGACCTGCATGCATCTGCTTCACTTGTATCCTGGGACAACACCTGCAGCTCTTCTTCTGCTGCAGACTTCTCACGCATCTCACGTAAAAAAGCCGTCGCAAAATCAGCCCATTCCTCCTCCACAGGACCGTCCATGGCAACCGCTGCCATTCGACTGATCTGAAACCTAAGCCTAGGGCCTAGGACCTAGGGACCTAGGATGGGCCTAGGTAGGGCCTGGGCCTAGGACCTAGGACCTAGGTAACATGCCCTGTGTCCTGTTGTGACCATGTGCCCTCGAAGAGGCTGCCTTGCGGCGCTGTGTCAAAAAACAACTCTGCGTAACTCTGCCATAAAGCCCAAAATTGCGTGGATCTCAACTATTCAACTATCGCAAGCTGCCCTACCAAAAAATCTCAAAGACATCAATCATGCGCCGTGCAAAAGCAAACTTGCTTGATCCATGCCTCGATGACGGCAGGGTGTCCAACTTTGGCGACATTTAGGGTGTTCGTTTCCTACATTATGCATGTGATTTTTAGTTTACCATATACCAACGAGCATCACGAACGATTGCAAGACAAAGGTGCTTTTGCAACTCCTATGACCTAGGATAATACGCTGAATACACGAAAACTGCCAATTCTATTCGATGCCCAATGCATTCCCGATGCATTGATACTCTGTTTTGCACTGTCCATGCAATTTACTTGCATTTTGTCTGCATTTTCTGTGCATTTTACATGTGTTTCTGCTTACAAAGACTTTACTACTGACTATGATGAAACCTATAATGTACTGACATTGAAATGAATTTCGCTGTTTCACATTTATTTTGCATTTGTTTTGCATTTCTTTTGCTAATTCCTATTTTACCTTTGCAGACCCCAATTTGTTCTCATTTCTTTTCCATTTCTTACCCATTCCGATCATCCACCCCCCCAAAGGCCGTTTCCATTTGTTTTACATTTAGGATCCATTTTATTCCCAAATATATCCTTTTTTTAACATCATAGAAAGAGGCACAGACTGCCCACACAATGCTAGCCGTAACCGTGCGGAGGTCATTCACTAACTGCGGCGGGAGGGAGCTGATGGCACCGAGTTCCTGCAACACGGGCACCGTGACACGACGCGGGAATACAAATGCCATGACCTGTCCAACTTCACTATCCACTAGTCCCCTGCTGCGGTAGAAGTGGAGGGACTGAAAGGCCCACTCCAGTTCTTTCTCCAGGCTGCGCATGGGCAAGTAGGCTCGCACTGCAGCGACGTCAACTTGCGGCGGAAGCCGCACTGACCGCATGAGTAAGTGCGAGTAACTGTGGCACTGGGGTCCAAACAGATCATCCGGCACATTAAACAACCAGTGCAGCCCTCCAGCGCGAACGCAGGGGGCAGAACGGATGTTCGCTCGGGCAATGTCAGATGGCTGCCAGGGGCACAAGAAATCCTCAGAAGCATGCACGATGCGCAACCGGCAGGGAACCTCTAACAGCGCGCTGAAGAGCCAATCCGGCATTCCAACAGCGCCTATGAAAGTTTAAACCCTTATACCAGTATACTTCTTATAACCACGGCGCGAGCTTGGATTCTTTTCTCACTCCGTGCTCCGCTGTCGGGCTGTGCTTGAGCCTACGTTTGACCTGCGGTGAAACACTGGATTCCTGTGTGTAAATGGGCATGAGGGAAAATTGAACTATCTGTTACGCCCTCATCGCATACACAGCTTTGTCGTGTAATGCGATCCTTGTGAAACTTTTCCTACTTCTACCACTGTTTTCGCATGCTCCTGTGAGCTTGATCTTCTCTTCTCGCACGCTTCTTTAAGCACTTCTTGAACATCTTTATTCTTCCTTCTTTTGTCTTCATCCTCAATCTTCAGATGTCCTATAACAGATTTGCGTGAATTTCCACACACACAAGGCTTCTGGCTCAGGCTTTTGTTTGTTGGTGTGTAGGTGACCCCAATAGTGGGCAGGCCATGGCTTTTCTTATGCTTCGCGTTCTCTGGCAGTGTAGCATTGTGGTACTGGATGGTAGCTGTGATCTGTCCAGCCCCTTATCGTCTTTGCTGGCATTTGGAACGCAAGCTGATTCTATGGCAACTGAAGCTTGTGCGACCATTGTCGATCTCGCACTGGTTAACCAGGACCCGCTGACCTGCTGTTTTGATGCGTGTGCAAACTTGATGATCACCGCAGCGTCTGCGCGGATAGTGAATGCACATTCTGACCTATTACCGGTGAAACAACACATGCAGGCACCGTTTCTCATTGCTGCCATGCAGCAAAGAGCTTTTGCAGCTACCCTTGCCGGCGAGAGCAAACAGAACCGACCTTCTGTAGTCACCAGTGTCTCCTGCCCTCGGAGCCACCAACATGCTGGCGATACAGGCGCCGATCCCACACTCTCTTTGCCGTTGTCTCATGCCTTCTGCGATGGCTCGAAGACTGCTCAGGCGGCAATGGACCAAGGACTAGGCTCTGCTGGCGTTCTTGCCCTGGCCAGTGCAGCGTACAGTCTCATCCCGTACAGTCGGGGTGGTGACCCGCATGCTTCCTGTGTCGGCAGGCTCTGGACTGAGGTGTTTACCTCGCCAATGCCATGTGTGTGCAAGGTGGGTTGTCAATATGATGATGTTGTCATCAGATGTGGGAAGAGGAAGATGAGTGTTGCTCCAGGCTGTGCCACCTGGATTGAGGTGTTCACCTCGCCGGTGACGGGCCCATTGCTGCAGTGTGTATGGCTAGATGCTTGTGCATCCCAGTTAAGGTCCGGATTTGAGGGTCTCTCCTCGCCGTGGCCACCTCAGGGACGTGTCTTATGCCGTGCGCCTGCACGGTCAGCTGCCAGTCTGTGCTATGCCTGGCTGAGGGGGCCCACCTCGCCGTGGCAGCCTGAGCTGCGTGCAATCAGAGCTTCTGCCGAGCTCCAGCCACTCATTGCCACCCAGGCCTCGTCGCGTTGTTGCGGTGAGCGTGGCCAGACCGAGGTGAGCGCAAGATGTGGTGAGATGACTAGCCCTGCTCTTGACTGGCCAGGTCAGAAGAACTGTCAATTCCACGTGCTGCTCTTTCATGCCGGGACCCTGGCCCGAGTCAAAGGCTGCCACAAGCGGTCGCCTTCTCAGGTGCATCCAAGGTCTATCTGCGCAGACGGGCTCCTAGGGTTGAGTTGTAGGCATTTTAGAGTTGTGGGTGTTTTGCTGTCTGGCCTGAGATACCTACCTGATCACTGCCTCCTCCCCAGGGACCCTTTTTATCATGAATGGGCTTCCTGTGTAGTGGTGCGTGCTATGGGTCATAGTGCGGCATCAAAGCGCCGCCAGCGAGCGCGCTTGGGCAAGAGGGAACGACAGGCTGAAACAACGCCAGATGATGCAGGACACGATGGTCCCAATGCAACTCCTGCCCCAGAGGTAGTGATCCATGGAGAAGACAGTTCTGCAGCGACTTCTTCCTTCATTGCTACTGCGAGTGCTGCCGACCCTGATGGCTCTTGGTCTGGGGAGGTTACCCTCCCTTCCTCTTCCAGCAGCTCGGGACTCCGAGGCCTTCCACTGGTGCACATGTCTGCTAGGCGTGACGAAGGCTCCATGCTGGATGAAGCTGAGGGTGTAACAGATGTCGTTGAGGAGACTACGCATCAGCCCGCTCATGCTCAGATGACCCTGGAGGGAACACCGACTGTTTCCGGTACAGCTGTTAGCAGTGGCTCTGCTGGTGGGAGCATTTGCACATTGAGTGGGTCGGCTGCATCGGCGGTTGAGGTGGTCAGTTCCAGTAGTGATGAAGAGCTACCCACACACGGTCGAAAGCGCGGGCGTCCACCAACTCCGCCTCGTCCGCGACCGCTTGAGGCCTTAGCGCACACTGATGAGGAGCTCGTCCCGACCGACTATGCAGGCTACCCTGAGCAAGGCCCTGATGAGCCGAGATTGCACTATCTCAGACGCTGCTTACGAGAAGCCTTGCAAGCAAGCACGCATCCCTCGACTGACTGGGCGAGGGCGAAAGAGCTGTCTGGTCAAGTGCTACTGTGCGCATGTCAGTTGAGCCCCATCGTGCTATCCGTGCTGCTAGCTCTCGCCTATCGCTTGCTAGTACTACTTTGGCGTCATTTCTTTAGACGTGGTCACAGCATCTGGGCTCCCACCAAGGTCTGTCCCGGCATCTATGTGCGAAGGCAATGGCCCTGGCCTGAGTGCAGGGCCGCCCCGTGGATAAGGAGCGCAGGAGTGGCTGGTAGCAAAACTGCTAAGCCTAAGCTTGCCAGACACGGGCAGCGCGGCAACTGCGAGACTCCGTGTCCTCAGATCTCCTTGCATGTTCGCCCACGGGCCCGGGGTCCAGGACACACCGCCATTGTTGAGGAAAGGGCGCCTCGACACCATAACCATAACCATCATAAACATAGTGCGGTCACCACACACGCAATAGCATGCAGAGCCAGCCCCGGTCCCAAACCCGGGGGCTGCAGCAAAGGTACAAGACGACCAGCCATGGGCTGGATACTCAGGCTGATAGCCTGCCTTGTCAGTTTGCAGGTTACTGCTGCAGTGAAGCCGAGGGTTGAGGGCAGAGTCGCTAGGCCCTCTGAAGTCAATTCTCCGAGCTTTGGAGCTGTGTCGCAGGGTGCGACAAAGACCAGCGAATCTTTTACACATCATGTGACATACCAGACACAGTCATTGAATCACAACATAGGCGAGTTTACTTCCTTTCGAAAGCGATCATTCATTCGTGCCCTTAATCGCGCGAGGCTACACGGCCAGACATGGTATAGGGGTAGGCTGCATACCGTCGACACGCTTGGCAATCCTCGCTCAGATCATGGGGCAGATCAGGCTACGACACGAAGTAGCCGTCCTGACAGTCAAGTTCCACAACACGGCAGAAATCAATGGAGGGGCCTTTTGCTGGAACGCGGGGGGGCTCAGCAACGCAAAGTTGTCCGAACTTGAGCTGTGGTTGTCTGAGCAGGCGAATCAAGGATTGCCGATACAGATCCTGGCAGTCCAAGAGACGCATTGGAGCTTCACAAGCGAGTGGGGGGGCGCAGATTACTGGTACATACATAGCGGGACGGGCAACAGAACGGGTGGCATTCTCCTCATGATACACCGCGCATTCGTCAGAGATGACCAAATCCGCATCGACCATGTTGTACCAGGACGAGTGTTGCATGTTAAGCTTGCGTTTGAGCCTGCTCTTGAAATCATCACCATTTACCAGCACTGCTGGTCCCGCGCGGGCCCTACGCGAACAATGGACCTGGACACAGGCGACACCCTCGAAGCTAAGCGCGAAAGGGTATGGGAAAAGTTGCAGCAAGTCCTTAATCGGGTTCCGTGGCGTAGTGTGATGGTTTTATGGGGTGATTTTAACACGGAGTGTAGGCCGATGTCGCCCCACGTTGGGCCGGGAATACTCAAGCCCAGCTCGCCGATTCCTCAGACGGATCACATCAGGCTTGACGGCCTCATGGAGAGATTCGGGCTTACTGTTCTGAATAGCTGGTCCCGCCGTGGGCATTGCGCCACCTTCCTTGGCACAGCAAAAGGCAAAACACGCTCTACCCAGATAGACTTTATCCTTACTAGACAGCATCATGCCACTCCCAGGTCCAGACTGGCGAGACCGCTGTGGCGAACTCCTTTCGTGCCTGCTGCTGGCATGCGCCACTTACCGATTGAGGCTTGGCTTCCACGACCAGGTAAGCGACATATCCCCAGGGGGGCACGACCTCACCGACCCTCACATCACGTCATGGCTCAGGCCCTCTCTCAGAGCCTAGACCTTCGTACTCAGTTGCGTGAGACTGTCCATCAAATTCTCTGCACCAGGGAACCCCGCAGCACAGATGACCAGGCTGAAGTTGTCAATGCTGCATTGCTTCAGGGCTGGAACCAAGTTGGTGCTTCGAAGGCTCAGCAGGCGGATCATGCAGTGCCTGCTCCGGCCCCCACTACCCAGCTCATTCGTGAACTGTGGCAGGCGCGTGCCAACCTACGAAGTCTGCGTCGAGGTGCCATGGCTTCGCTCTTCACTGCTTGGAGGCAGGTTCTGCGCGTGCAAAGGCTCCAAGGGGAACTGCACAAACGCTGTAGGACTAATAAGCGGGATAAGGTTGAAACGCAGTTGCAGATTGCGGAGTCTAGTAAGGGACCTGCAGAGATTTACCAGGTGGTCAAACGACTGGCACCGAAGTCCCGACGTCTGAGAATCCAGCTTCGTGATGAAGCGGGGGCCCTCTTGTCACAGGAGGGAGAGCTGAAAACTATCGTTGACTACTTTCGTGGTATCTACGGCCCAGATCCTGCCAATAGCACCCCTATTGGGCCCATGAGTAGCTTCTCACTTGAAGACGTAGTTGCTGCACTGCGCAAACTCCAGCCACGTAAAGCTCTTCCTCCACAGAGTGCCCCTGCTGTTCTGTGGAAAGTGTGTGCTACTGAAGTTGCGCCCTGTCTCCATGCAGCCTTGGAGAACTCGCTGCACCAAGACAGCCCTAAACTGCCCCACCGTTGGCATGATGTAACTGTCTGCTTGATTCCCAAAATCCCGGAAGTAAAGCTGCCGAAGCAACTTCGCCCGATATGTCTTCTGACTCCGGGCAGTAAGATAGTGGCTACCATGCTTGCGGACAAACTTCGAGGCAGCATCGCAACCTACATGCAGTGCATACCGCAATTTGCATACTTGCCTCAGCGTTCTGCCAACGACGCTCTCCTCCGAGTATGCTCACATCTTCATCAATCCCGAGACCTCGCCTATAATGCGAATCCTTCGGTGCATGCAAAGCATGAGGGGGCTAAGACACACAGCCTTCGTGGTGGTGTTGCCTTAAGCTTAGATGTCAACAAAGCCTTCGACGCCTTACCAAGAGGCTACTTGCACCAGGCCTTACGCCGTGCACGCATCCCCAATGAGGACATCAACCTCATCATGCACATACATGATGCAGCTCGCATGGTTTATCAGGTAGGTGATCAGCAGGCCTGTGTAAACCTGAATCAGGGTGTGAGGCAAGGATGCAGCCTATCACCTCTGCTATGGGCGGTAGCAACGGCTAGCCTTTACCTGGATTTAGTTTGCAATCTTCAACAGGCTCAGGTTCCCTTGGGGGAGCCAACGCTGTACGCGGATGATGTGTTTGCAGCTTGGACAATTCGCAAATTGGCTGATCTGCCATGTGCAATTCGGGCCATGGGCATTTTGATTGAGACCCTCGAACGAGCGGGCCTCAGTCTCAGTCTTGACAAGACCGTTGCGCTTATGTGCTTGCGAGGCGGGGCTGCGCAATCCCAGGTTGCGAAGGTGTGTCGTAAGGATAGTGACGGAAACAAAGTGCTGCAGCTTCGTGTCTTTCAGCGTAGAATCCGGATCCAGGTCAAGAGTACCCATGTCTATCTCGGTGCTTGCATCGGATATCACAACTTCGAACTCTCAAATCTCCAGCATAGGATGCGGATAGCGTGGGGTACTTTCTGGCGCCTGCACTCCATTTTGCGCAGTCGAGCTCTTCGGCTCCACACGAAAATTCGACTGTGGAAGGCCTGCGTGTTCAGTGCGTTGCGCTACTCTCTAGTCAGTGTGGGGCAGCCGACGCAAGGTCGCGCTCTAGTCACCACTATGGTCAACAAACAGTTGCGTCTGATCCTGAAGTCCCCAGCACATCTTCGCCGCACTACTGCCGAGCAGGTCAGACACACTTGCCATGTGCCAGACCCGTGGTCCATGCTGCAGAAAGACCTCGAAGTTAGAAACCAACTTCCCCGGCTGTTCAACACCGCCCACTTGCAGAACTGGCTAGCCTGTGTTGCGCATTCGTATGAGCAGATTCCCAGCAGCCAGCGTGAGGGTAATAAGATTGAAAGGGCCTTACTGCACCCCGTCAACAGTGTTCATCACTTTCGTGCAGTGTGCTGTCCTGTGTGTGGCATAGAGTTTGCTTCACTGTACACGATGAAGACACACGTCACAAAGGAGCACATGAGGAACAAAGGGGAGGTGGAGCTCGACCCTCTGCAAGAGCTGATCCTTGACATGTATTCTGATGTTACGCAGCGAACGACAGTTCATACGGTCATGCCCAGCACCCTACAGGGAACTGATGCTCACACCCAATTTGTTTACATGCATGCCCTTGGAGGTATGTCAACTTGTGTCCATTGTCGCAGGCAGTGCAAAACGTGGCAGGATCTTAATCTGCACATTACTTCACGCTCGTGCAGAGTATTGTTTCCAGATGGTCTCACTATCCAAGTCCCTACTCACAATCCTAACTCTGTCCCTGCTGCCTACGATACGGCATGCCTCCAAAAATTTCGACATGGTTGGGAGCTTGGTGCCAAATGGATTGCCTCACAGGGTGAAAAGTGGCTACATCATTGCCCGTGGTGTACGCAGTGGATTGTAGACACGAAGGCATTGCACATTCACATATCTGCTAAGCATCCTTGGCTGGAAAAGTGTTTTATGCAGGCCAAGTTGTGGCAGTTTCAGCAGCGGAAGGCCTTAGTCCTGAGTTCCCCCTGTCGCTACTGCTGCAGAGCCTACAGAGGCCATTCAACTCGGCATGCCACGGAGTGTAAATCCATACTATTTGCACGTATGCTGACGACGCAGCAGCATGATACCATCACTTGGTCTGCCCAGGCGCATGACGCTCAGTCCCGAAGAGCAGGCGAAGCAGGACCTTGCGGAGGCCACCATGGAGCTGAGCATGCTCGCGTCCAACCTACGTCAGAGTGGGGGCTTGCAGAGCAGCCTTCTGGGAACCCAGTTGGGCTTCACAGGTACTGGCCAAGAAGCCGAGGAGCGCCCGGCGAAGTACTCCAAAGACTTGAACAAAGGTCCGGATGGGAAGGGCAGAGGAGCGAATGGCAGGCTGAAGCGCCAATACCAGCCTCGCGGAAATCAGGCAGCACGGGAGACAGGAACATCCTCCACTGGCTTGGTGCTGTCCCCAGAGACCATCCAGATGCTCATCAAGTTGCTGCTCCGCCACGAGGACCAGTTGGCCACGTTCAGGTTGTCGACAGCATGGGTGTTCTTCCTCTCGGCAGAGAAGCCGGTGGAGATCATCGAGACGCTCTACGCAACTGCGACGCAGTGGCGCCATCAGAAGCTCAACGATCCTGCCTCTTTGAAGAACCCGATGAGAGTGATACTCTTTCAGGCTACCTGGAAGGAGATGTACACGCGCGCAGAGAACATTCGCA